GGTTCCAGGATGAGGAGGACTCGCTGGCGCTCGTGTTCCAACACGTGACGCCTGAGGACGCCGGTCTGTACACGTGCGTGGCCTCCACGTCCACCGGCAAGATCGCTTGCAGCGCAGAGCTCACCGTGCAAGGTAAGCGGGAAGGGAGAGAAGAAATAAGATACTATACGGTTTTTTTAACATTTATTTTCAGTTCATAAAAACATAATTGTTTTTATACAGTTTAAAGTGAAATGACAAGTGACATTTTGTCACCTGTTAATATCAGTGTAAACTCTTTAAGATGAAATTGTATTTCTCTTATTTAAATACAGTGTAAACTCGAGGGACCGAGTGTTTTCGTTGAGGGGAGTTTTCGTTATATTCAGAAAATGAGTGCATGAGATTGTCAACGTATAAATTTGTATAAAGAAGTTTGTTAAGTTTACACTATATACTATACAAATTCTCTCATATATTACCCATTTATATAAATACGAATACCATTGCCTACTTTTTCAATGTCAGGCTCCGTGAATCAGCTGATGAAAGAGCCCGAGGTGCCAAAAATCGTCACCGACACGAAGTCCACAGAAGTCAGCTTGGGTGGGTCGGCCATGATGGAGCTCAAAGTAGGCGGCTTCCCTCGCCCAGACATTAAGTGGTAAGTAAAACTTGCAGACCGATCTAAAAGTGCTCGTGCGATTGGTTTTGTCTTAACTGTCAAGACATGCAACGGTAAAATGTAAAAATATGTTTGGTCTGTTACTCTGGTTTCTAAGTGTTGTCCACATGTTCAATATTAGCAATAGATAATTCCTTTACCGTTTTGGCCTCAAAAGTTAAGATTCCCTATGAAAGTTTTTATTTTTTATTTTTCCAATTTCGTCACCTTTGAATTTCATCGGAATTTTAGGTACATTTCGAAGACTCGTAGCGCTTTTGTTAAATAGGAAAGTCGTTAGTGAATAGCGAGTGCATTTCATTTCTGACGGCCAGCTGGTGAATCGTGCGTGGCCGGAGAGCCGCCGCGAGGCAGAGCTACCGTAATGTGCATCTCAATTTCGCCAATGCTCAAATTGGCGGTTTTTTATCGTTCGTATCCAAAATCCAAACATATTTTTTTCTCCGGCAGTACTTAGAAATGACTTCAATGCTTTGACTCTCTTTAAGCTGAATCTTCTGAACGTTACAGAAGAGAAATTGTAAATAACTTGCAGTGCGGTAACGAAGCATCTCTCAGTATTATAACCAATCAATTTAATTCAATTTAAATTCAATGACGCTTAATTTTCCGTGGATTTTCTGTGGCTTGGCTCAGGCCGTCATGCCTGCCCATTCACCTTTTCACCCAAATTCCGCTACACTTCTTTCACCGTCTAGCAGAGACAAGGTACCACAGGAGGAAACATGTGATCTGAATTTTACTCAGGGTCTTCTTTTAGGTTTGAGGATCTGTTAATGCAGTAAATCTACTACATGGGACAGATGGTTTTACTTCCCCTTGTAAGGCAGGCGTACGCCTGTAACAAGTTTCCTTTTTAGAGTAGCATGGATCTGGTATACTGCAACTGTTCTTTTTTTCCGTATACGTAGGATTCTTTTGCACTTAAATATAATTAACCATTACACAACCGTTACACAATTGAAACCGCAAATTTCGTCTAGGCAAACCGTTACACCACCGAAGCTAATTTCATCTTATTTCTATTTCGTCTAATTGAGGAGAAAACCGCTGTTTTGTGCTTTTTTTTTCACCTGAAATGACTCGCTCTCGCCCTGTATTCCCTTAAACAAAAAGTGTATTAAACGCTCTTGTAGAGATTTGCAAGAATAGCATTGAGCGAGGGTGTTCTGTGCCTGGTTGTCGTAGGTTCAAGGACGGCAAGGAGGTCCAGACCGGAGGCCGCATTCGCCTGTTGTACGAAGACGAGGAAACCATCTCCCTCATCATCAAGGGAGTGACTGTGGCGGACGCGGGCAAATACAAGATCACCGCCAAGAACGATCTGGGCGAGGACTCCATGGAGGTGGAACTCTTCGTCAAAGGTTTGGCCACTCTCCTTCGCTTGCTTTCAGTCAGAGAGATCCTAGATTTAAGTAATAATTTCTAGTATAATATTAAAATTATCGAATGTAATTATTTTTAAAAAGGTCATCTTGAGTTTGGTCAAGATTACTTATGAAAGAAAAAAATAAATATAATTTTATTGTTAGAGTCATGAAAAATTCTAGTACATTCTGATTATATCTGATCTAACTTTGCATTTTTTTTATTGAACAATATTTTTTTCAACTTAACTGCTATGATTACATTTTGTCACATACTATATGAAGAGATAATTTTGATTTTAAATTTGATTTTTCCTGACTTCCCTTCTACCTCGAACATGTTACCCACTATTCAATAAGCTTTAAAATGTGATGCGTAACTGTCACAGTAAAAGGTAATAGATCATGTAAATTATACCAATATACAAAGTAGTAATTCTCTAATGATTTTGTGTGTGTGTGCGCGTGTGTGCACATGCTTATGTTTGTTTCTTATGTATGTGAAATTAAGACGTTAACAACTTTTCATATAGCTCCACCAAAAATCAAGACAGAAGTAGAGGATAAAGCATGTATGACCAATGAAACTTACAAGCTTACAATTGAAGTTGAAGGCATGCCAGTTCCTGATGTTAAATGGTGAGTCAATCCTGGTGAATTTCCTTAGAAGTTCAAAATATATACAATACCTACTTACTCATATCTATAGAAACATCTGCTGAATACCATAATGCATTGCATTCTGTAAGAACATAATACTGTTTTATGCTCTTGCATTATTGTATTTTTAGTACTCAATTACAAAACAATTTTCATTTCATGGAAATGCAACTATGCATGTAATACAAATATTCAGTATAATGTTTTTTTTCTCAAGGTATCATGTAAGCCCTATATTTTAATAATAGACATCTGTGTATTGTAAATACTTTTTTTAGATATTCTTGTAAGACTAAAGCTCTTAACCAGAAGGGATTTTTTTCCTCTGTACCTCTGTTGATTTTTAAATAGCAATTTTCTAGTGCTACCGACCAATTAATTATATAATCACATTTTTTACATCTATACATATTTTACATTTATATACATTTATATTTTGCAGTTTTAATATACAAATTTAAGATTATGAGTTAAAAATAAATATATTTCTTTTCTAGGTACAAAGATGGGCAGGAAATTAAATCATCAGATCGTATTAAGGTCACCAAAGAATCTTCAGAATCATACTCTTTGACCATTACGAAGACAACTCTTGAAGATACTGGCTCATACTCTGTTGTAGCTTCAAATGAAATCAGTCAGACATCAAAATTCTGGAAGTTTACGGTAAATGCTGGACCAGAGTTTGTGAAGAGCTTAGAGAAAATGGTAGAATGCAGAGAAGCAGATACAGTTATTTTGGAAACAAAAGTCACTGGAACTCCACAACCGGAAGTCAAATGGTATATAACACATTTTTGCAAATAATATTAATCATAAAAATAATAAATAGTATATTGTTGAGTATTAAAGAAATACAGCGAATACATTTTGTCATTTTGTTCCTTGTTAGATTTCAAAAATTAATTATTTTTGAATGTATTAACGAGCAAAGCATTTTATATCAACAATCAAAGATCAAAATCCGAGAAGTTTATGAATTCATTGAGCTAATATTTTTTAACCAGTATAGATTTATTAATTCATTTATTTATATATCATCAAAGAAATTCAACATTTGAATCACATTCATACTAGACATAAAATAAATCATTTTTTTCATTTCTTAGGGTGAAAGATGGAGAAGAAATTAAGTCTGATGGCAAGCGAATCACCATAGCTCAGGATGGACACATTTACACTCTCACAATCAAAGGAACAACCCGCAAGGACACTGGAGACTACACCTGTGAAGCTTGGAATGATTTTGGTTGGAAAAAGTGTGAGACAAGACTCAACATTCGCTGTGCTCCAGAGTTTAGAACCAAACTCAGCGACAAACAAGCAAATGAAGGAGATGTCAACATTGAGTTTGAAGTCAATGTGGAAGCCTACCCCAAACCCAGCATCAAATGGTTAGTGTAGTTTCTATTAAGCATTATTTTAATCAGTTTCAGTCAACTTTGTAGCCAAATAAAAGAGAAAGTAAATTACAAATTGTAATTGACTTGAATATGAATTGAAAGCATATTAATTTTTCATTTAAAATATAAAAGTAGGATTAATATTATTAAAATGTTTGTTGCAATTCTAATACTTTCTCTAAAAAGCACCCTCTAAAAAAAGATTATTTTTGTGAATAGGAAATTAAATATTGTGGTTTCAGATATTCATTACATTTTTGCATTACACCTTTAACGCAAAAATGACTTTTTGATGCGCTTTTAATGACTTATAGAAGCAAGTTTCAACATAGTATGATCATTCTGCTAATTCTCTTTCTCACCTTGTCAGGTTCCTCAACGAAGTTGAGATCACAGAGAAGAAAACAGAATACACTCGTATTGAAGAAGGTGACAATTATAAACTGATCATAAAAGAAGTCACCACTGAAACATCTGGCAAATACACCTGCAAGTTGGTGAATGACATGGGCTCCAATGAAAGTTCTTCTCAGTTCACAGTAAATTGTAAGTAGATAAGCATAGTGTATTTAAAGCTAGTGAAGTGGCTAGTTTTGCCTCAAAATTGAACAACTTTCAGATAAAAACTTACAATTAAGGGGTTATTTAAGGAGTTTGTTGAGTAGATTTAAGTTGAGTTCATAAAGGAGTTCAAATTACCCAAAGAGGTTCAATTGTTAGTAAAATTATTTCATGTTCCTGTTGAAGTGTTGTCAAAAAACAAAACAAAAATAATGATCTCAAAAATATCATACTCTCTAATAATCTTTCTCTTAATAATAATCTTTTGGTTATTATGTTATTAGATATGGCATTTATAAATATTTACATTTCATAAAATGTCCAAAAACAAAGTCTTTTTGTAATATTCTTTGAAGTCCCAGTAGGCTTTATCATGTACAAAAAAGTCTTTTTCACTCTTGTGTTCTCTGTAAATTTAATTTTTTTATCCAAGAATTGTTAGGTCAGGACAGGGTGTTGTGATGTATTGTATGTATTTGTATTCGTCACTGAACTTTTGTTGGTTCATTTAAAAGATTGAAAGTTAACTAAAAATTTCAAGAGCCCTTCATCTCATTACAGTTTGCTTGAACAAGGTATTTCAAATCCCCCCATGTGTCTACCCTTATTTGGGCAAAGAAGTACTAAGTTTTCTGTTTTGCAGGTAAGCCTCGCTTCCCAAAATCCCTCAAGAACGAGGAAGTGGATGAAGGAGCAAGTCTTACTCTGACTATTGAGGTTTATGGTGTCCCAGAACCCAAAGTCAAATGGTGAGTTTTTTAATTATACCTCACTAGATTTAGAGTGCTGATCACCTTCAGCTCCAGCACAAATGTTATCTAAAAATCTAAATTTGGAATTGTCAGTCCAAGCCACACTTAAGCAAAATGCAACAGTGTGTAACCAACAAATGAAATATATATAATTATTGCTTAAAAGTGCTATACTATGTGTAATCTGTTACTAGTGCTGCAACCAGATGTTGCATTTATGGAATATCAACAAGTAATCATTTGATGTAAGGTCAAACAAACAAACAAACAAACACCAAAATTTAAGTACATAGTAACACTTTGTGAGACCCTTTTTTTCAAAATGTTCACATATTTCATCTTAACAAAAAGTGAGAGACCTTAATAACATTTATTCATGGTATATTTATAATACAAATGCGAAACTTTGGGGAGGGATTTTAGATTCCAAACTCTCCCTCCAGCTACTTTCTTAACTATACCAATGACATAAAAAATATCAACATCCAAACCACTTATGATGAAACACCAGTGAAATCTTGTGTAGGTACTTTTGTTATGATGTACATTATGTGTTGGCCAGCTTTGATGCCGAAATCTCTGAAACCCTCTGAGAACTAACCCGTTGACAATTTTTTTTGCCTACCTAAAATATTGTGGTTAATGCACAGAAGGTCAAAGAAGCAGTGTGCCATACTGCAATATTTGGAGCACAATTTGATTCGTTATTAACACTGTAAATTTTATTGCTTTGGAAGCAGATTGATTTTCATCAGATTTTTTTGATGTCTTATCCCTGGCCACTAAATCCATGAATAAATTTGGACTGGCTCTTGGAATTAATATTTATGTCAAAATAAAACCAAAATATTTCAATATTGTGGTTTTATTACTTTTAACTAAATTACTCAATTTCGTTGTAATCTCTTGTCTTAAAGATTACATGTGTTTGGAGAAAATTAGTATCACAAAATTTCTATTGTCACATACAGTCATGCTGTATAAATACTTTGTTTACTTTATCTACCCAATAATTTATTGTAAATTGAAGTAATCATTTACCTTCTTATGGGACATCAAGCATCATTTTATAAATCAATTAGCTTTTTCTTCAATGACATCAGTACATTGATCAATTCTGATCACATGTTGAACAGGTATTAAACCTAACTAATCTAGGATACCATTCATAATGAAAAATGAAATCTAAAAATTAAATATTTTTCATTAACATTTTGTAAGAAAAATGAATGTCTTTCTGACAAGCCTTTTATTTTCTCTAGGCTTAAGAATGGCCAAGAAGTTAGTGCAGATGCTCATATTAAGATCTCCCGAGATTCCAACCGACAAGAGAGTTATAACCTCAGCTTCACTCTGATCAAAGGATCTGATGCTGGAGAATATGAAGCAAGAGCTGAAAACTCTATGGGAACTGCTTCAACAAAGAGTACAGTGAAGGTCAACAGTAAGTATTGAGCTTCAGACAATTCTTTACTCTCTTATAAATTGGCAAGTGTTTAAAGGCTAAGCAACTCCGCTGATTGGCTTTTGTTCACAAAGAATAATGTTGCATATAAAGAAGTACAATTGGTTCACAATTTTCCTTATCAGTGCTGAAATTGCAGAGATTTGAAATAGCAGACAATGAATTAGACAAATTCAGCATTATGTGAGTACAGAATCTAAATTCTATACTCATACTATTCATTGCAAAATTGCAAATTACCACCTATTTTGACTCTAAGTAACCTACAATGTGTATTTTGTCTTGATATAGTATTATATTCATGTCATTTGTTCTTTTTTCCTTCATAAGCTTTACATGAAAACACATTGTAATCAGCATTTAATGTCTATCGCGGAATGAATATAAGTCCAATTATTTGTTCTCTTCAGTCTAAATACTATTTAGTGTTCAGTTTTAGAACTTTCTAGTATGTTCTTTTCTGCCTCTAACCCTCCTGAAGAAGACAAATTTAAAAAATAGAAAAAAATTACTCTGAACTTTCGACTTTGGAAAATTTTAGTTGGAGAGGTTAAATGTTTTAAATGACGTGCAAATGTTATCAAGTGTGAACTAGTTTCATTATGTGCTGTTTTTTGGGATTTTGTGATCTCTTGTAATATAAAATCGAGCATTTCAATGTTTGAAAATTTACAATTGCATCTCTGAAAGTTAAATTCCAATAATAACTTATTTCATAAAGTTTATTTTTATTTGTATCAAAAATCAATATCAACTAAACCCAATATTAGGTTTATTTTAAATATTATCATTTGTATTTTTTTTTTTAATTCAAATTATTTTTACATTAGGAAGTCACAATATCTTATGTTTCTTTACTAGAATTTTAAAATCAAAGTGCCTACCTGGATATCAAAACATTTTTTGCCTTCCACATAGCAGGTTAAGGTTAACAACCACCTGATATAGGACGTCATCAGGTGCTACGGGGTTGATTCTTGTAAGTAATTGTGACCCCCGAAAGCTATGTGTGCTCAGGTTATTTTTTCCCTGCCTCCCATGTCTGTATCAATGAGTTTCTCAGGCATGCCCCCTCACCTTTTTCCAAGTAAATTAGTCAAGATTTTTTGAGGACTGCCAACTTTAAGGACATGTTGGTCAAAGAACACAGTTAAAACACAAGAATATGCATATGGGATTTTCCATATGCTCCTCTTGCCGAACTACAATCACTGAAAAAATGGTTTATCTAGTTAAGAAAATATTGGAACATATTATATATTATGTATGCTTAAAATGCTCATTCATAAACCTTAAAATTATTAAAAACAATATAATAAAAATATCTAATAACATTTAAAAATTCATTAATAAATTAAAGTCTATTTCAAAATAAATTTTAAATACATTCTTTGTTACATTTTTTAAAATATCTTATTAATTTTGTTTATTTAATGGTGCAATATGTGTTTTAACTTGATCTATAAAATGACTTGAAAGAATTATAAAAACATTTTTCCTTTTGTAATATTTTACTGACTTCTCAGTGCAATGAGGTACTAATCCACAGGAATGACATTTATGCACAATTTTGTGTGAAATCCCTTTGGATGTTGAAGCACTTTTCTAACTATTATAGGAGAATGGGTTTTGTTGTTATTTTTAAGGTGAATAATTACATGTCATCCCTATCCAATTTTATCATTTAGAAAGAGAAAACATTTCAAATAATTTAGGCAATTAAGTGGGTCATTGAAAATGTCATAAGAAAAATATGAGTAGTTATTCATTTCCCTTTGCACTGTAGCCATCACAAAAGTCACAGAGACCACAACTGAAGAGGAAGTTGAAGAAGAGATTGTTAAGAAAGTAGAGGAGGAGATAGAAGCAGAGCCAAAGAAGAAGAAAGAGAAGCCAAAGGAAGAAGAAGCTGAAGTTATCATACAGGACACTGAGGCTCAGAAAGTCTCAAGTTCAGAAGGTAATAAATGCAGTTTCCGTAGGGCACATGCAAACCTTTGCTCATCTTACAGGTGCTATGCATGAACTGATATCATAAGCAACATAAAAAAATTTACAAGAAATAATTATGAGGGGAGGGGATCATAAAATCAATATTTTTTTGTCAAAATTAGTACTCCTTCACTTATTTTATACCATTAGGAACTGGAAGAGAAATTTAAACAGTCGTTAAAGAATATTTTTAAAATTTTCTTTAATTCTAATTTCATATACATATGAAACACATTTTCAAGTATTGAAATACCTTTTTAAATAGTACAAATTTTTTTGTATTGAAAACTACCTTTGGGTCAAATTACAATTCATTTTTTATTACCTTTCAGTTCTAACACATGTACACATTGTTTTTTTCTGCACCCACATTTTTCTGTGACATTCCATGAGACCTGTTGTCCTGATTTAGCCTTCATCTTTCTATCATGATTTATGATCATTGGCCTGTGCAAATTGTTCTAGAATAACTTTTAAAAAATCTTGTATCTGAAGTAAGATACAATATAATATTCTTAATTGGGAATATCCTCAAACATCAAGTTACCAATTTTGTTTACTTTTTTTATTTAACCTACAGGATGATTTTTAAAAGCAGTTTCATTGTTATTATGCAGTTGCAAGAAATTTACAAATTAGTTGTTTTTTTATTTTTTTTAAATTTTTGGTTAAGGAAAACAAAAAACAGAAAGAAAGAAAAACGAAAGAGCAAGAGAGAGAGAGAAAAGTAAGACTGTGTTTCAGAGCATAAACCGCATTGTTGATTGTTGTTGCCGTTTTTTTATCATCCTGATTTTATCACCATCTTTTTGTATTTTGTAATGTGTAATTATTTATTTTGAAATTCAAAAATGACCCATTTGCAGATATTTCCCAAAGTACATGGAAAAAGAACAACTTAAGAGAACACAGTATTGTATGTAGAGCTGGATTAATATCTCAAGAGGCCCTAAGCAGTGCACATTCAAGTGCAAGGTTCCAAAACTCCTGTCAGCAAAACACAGAAACTTCATTAATAGCAACATAAGAAAAATCAGATTTAATATTATACATTAACACAACGTACTTTGTGTTTTGAAATATGTTTTTCTAAAAAAAATTATTTTTTTTTGTTGAGAATTTTAAATTGAGCAATTATTTTGTTAATAGCACTGATGTTTAATGACAAGTTGCTGTTAGTTATTTCTTCTTGGTTTTCTTTGCTTTCTTTTATTTTCATAGGAGCCTTAAGTGTTTGCTTAGCCCACTTGGGACGTTAATTCTGCAACAGTTGAATGACCCCCTTCCATTCTATTCCCACTCATTTCCCTCATCCCCACAGTAGCCTAGTGACCCTCTCCTGTCTGCCACAGTGGAGCCTGAGGGCTCCCAACACGCAGGCAACCTGATGTCTGTCGAGACACAAAGCATTACTTATTCTCGTGGGGAAGGGGACACTGTGACGATTTCCATGGCCTCCTCCATGCACCACCAGTCGGCAACTGTTTCAGATGGGCTGGAAGGTGAGTGGGAGGAAAATGCCAAAATCCAACTAGAATTTCTCAAGCGGTGTTTCTGTTCAATTCCGTTGAGACATTTCATCATTTCATCATAATTTGTACACTCAGAAAGTGTTACTGAAAAAGACTGAAGTGCTCAAAAATTAATTTGCTTTAAATTCTTATGACAAAATTCTTCTTTCTTTGAATTTAAAGCTCTATATTTTATAACTACTATACTCGTCAATAATAAAGTTTAATAGATTTGATGTATTTTTGAATTTCTAAATCAAACATTAATTGAGTAATCACTTTTGTAAACCAGTGTTTCATTTAAAAAATGTATAATGTTATCTTGATTCATTTGAAAATTTCATTCTCTACCTCATGGAGTTAATAAGATCGGTGTTTTCAAATCAGATCAAATTTTTTATTACAATGTTTCTGGAGACAAGTAAATGTTTGAGCATGTCAACATCATTAGAGAAATGAATCCAAGAGGGCAAAGATGTTCTTTCGTTCGTATTAAAAACATCTTGTTCAAATGCCCAAATTAAAGGCATTGCATCAAAGTATTAATATTTTGATTATATTTCATTTCTTTATAAAAAGAAACATTAGTCTTGAGGTTATCTTTCAGAGTGTTATGCTAAACAGTAATGGAACTACATCATTAGAAAATTGTTTTTATCAAAATTGCAAAATACAATTAATCAAAATTTTAATTGCCGTATAGAGATAATGTGCATAGTTGAATTTTGTCATCCTCCTCTTAAAACATACATATGGTATAATACATAGTTATCATCACACTTTTCATTCCCAATTTTCAAGAACATATGTTGGGAATACAATTACATGTGTATTCAGCTTTTTAATCTAATTAGCAAATAGATGCAAGCAGTTTACAATTTTAACATGTGTAATTTTTTATTCAGAGATGAGTGAATTTGTGTGTGTTTTTATGTGAATTTAATTGTAATTCACAATTCATATGTGTTAAGCTGCAGAATTGCTAATCAATACTCAGTGTAGTCAGATATAAAACAAATAGACAGAAATCTGACATCAAATTAAGTTAATGAGTTGCTAGTGCCACACTGATAAGAAATTCTGGGGAATGGCTACAATTTTTTTTTTTTTTTATTTACGAATAATCTGCTTTGTGGTATTTTTTGTCAATTATTTATTTTAACTTTTAAATTTTAATTTAAATATTCAGTAACTTGAAACATTGATTGTTAAAAAGCAATAATTTGATAGTTTCAATTCCATTTCACATCACATTTTTATAATTCACAGACTATACTGAATTAAAAATAATAATTCTTCTACTGCCACTATAAATTGAAGGTTATGGTTCAGATGTTCTCCTTTGAAATGCAAAGCCCTTACAAAAATTACTGAATGAAACAACAATTATTAAAATCCTGTAGCCACCAGAAGTCTTCTCTTTGTAGTGCAAGTTCATGTTTAACAGTTACTAAATAGTAGCTTGTATGATCTAGATCTTCAACAAGCAATAATGAGTAACATTTAAAAGTAGTTCTTCTAGAAAACTATTAGCCCCTGCCTGTGTAACTCAAAGGTACTTTCAGGATCAATGACTGTCCACTCGCTCACTGAAACCACCTCTACCACGGTGTTTTGTGAGGAAGTGAGTGGTCCAGAAAGCCAAACTGGAAGGATAGTGGAACAGCACATTAGCAGTTCAGAACACATAGAAACAGAAACACTGAGCTCAACTGAAAATGACATTTCCAAACAGCCGCAAGCAGGCAAACTGTTAGAAAAAGAATCTTTGAGTATCAAAGGTCCTGGTCAAGCTCAGGTGACTGATGGGAAGAGGACAACATCAGGCGTCATGTTAGAAGAAATAACATCTGACCAGCTGTCATCTCCAGAAATACATGATATTTCCCACAAACCAAATATAGGTGTAGTGGAGGAACCAGATAGTGATACAAATCTTGAAGAACAGAACATTAGGAAAATCCACATATCTGTGGAACGGGGAGTTTCCATTGTGTCAGTTGAAGACGATACTTGCAGTCAGGCAAGCATCTCAATTGGTTTTACCCATGAAGAAATAGAAGAAGGAGTAATTGGTTCAAATAAAAAACCTGGTGTGGAAGAGGGAAAGAGATCTCAAAAAGCAGCTGTTTTGACTCCAGAGACTGCTACAGAGAGGAAAATTCCACCAAGAAGACAATCAATTCAAGAGGACCTTCCACAACCACAAAAGGCAAAGCGTCTCAGTCTTGGAAACGCAGAAAACATTGACAAAAGCAAGCAACAGAAACTGTCTGAAAGAGCAATAAAGAAGCCAATGAAGGGGAAACAAGTAGAGACTGCAGAAGTTAACAATGAACAAAAATTGGAAGAAGAACCTACCAAACCTGCAATCTCCGAGGAAAATATTGATCCAAAGAAAGGTTTGCTGTTACAAACTGGAGAAACAGATTTAAAAGAAGCCTCAAAGCTAAGTAAAGCTGCAGAAGAAGATGAAGATCCAGAAGTATCTGCTCTTTTGAAACGTATCCAGAAACAGCGAAGTGTTCTTGAGGAGATCCTGGACAAAGAAGGGGAGAGGAAAACAGAAGGTAAGATTAGGCTCTGCGCTCAGACTTTGCAATCATCTTCTGTACATTGTTACTCTGCATCAAATACTACTCAAAGATCAAAATTCAAGGAGGAAGAAGATGATGAAAAAGAAGCAAAGGGTACTTATATTCATTTGCCTTCTTCTCTCCAGCTATGGACATTGATCTATAACATCAGTAAAGTAGAAGCAGCTAATATTTATGCATGTGTTGCCTTCATTTGAAGTCTCTTAAGAAAAAAATCATATTCTACAAATTTTGCTGTGGATGCATTTTAATGCAAATTTAACGTTTCTGCTTCATGCAATGTGAGAAATGCATTTGAAATATTTTGTTGTTAGCAAAAAAATAGGGAACATAATTAAGATGTATTTCAATCTAATTGTAAATAGTGAATAGACAAATGAAATATTTTGTATTATTTTGCCTTCCTAATATCAAATGTTCTGTAAATGAAGAATGTTTTATTATAAGAATGGCTTTGAACAATCACATTTTTTCTTATATTGCAATAGTTAAGATCTGGACTACACATCGAGCATTTTTTGACAATATGTATAATCATATTTTTAATTTGTGCTCTAAAATCATAATGTACAAAGAATTTTGTGAATGTTGCCAATAACGTGATAAATAACAAGAACATAGGAAGAATGAAGAGTTTCTTATACACTGGACATTTTGTTTTTATTGCCTTGGACTTTTGCCACTTTGTTGAACTGTGTTGAACTTTATTTTATTTTATGATTTTTCATTTCCAATAAATATTACTGACTACCATTTTGCTTAGAAGCATTTTCTTTTTCAGCTTTTTGTGTATCTATTCATTATATGATTATTTTATATGCTTGTAAACCAAAAGCTAGCAAAGCAAAACTTTTTACCATTGTCATTTTTGTACTAATGTGCTGGTAATGCCTACATTTCTTTGAATAACCTCTCCATGTTTTGTAGATGCATGTTCTAACCTTCTGATGTATGTTTCTCCTGGGTTCTTGAAAGCAGAATTTTGCCTTTGCTGCAGATGCAGGTAAATGGTAAGTAATAACTGAACTGCATTCTGCATGCTTTTACAAAGATTATTTCTCATCTTCCAATGGGGAAAGCCTTTTATTTATAGTTCTCTTATGTTGGGATTCTCATTAATTTCAATGCATCCATATATATTGCTGTTTTTTAAACTCTGATTTGACCCCTGTGATTCTGAAAGGTAAGTTGCAAAGGTTGTTGATCTTCCTTCAAACCTCTATCATTTTAAACCAACAGGTTAACAATGTTATTTTTCTTATACATAGCTATTCCTGAAATCACTGGTTCCAACATGCAAGATGTCACTACTCATGAATCCCTGGGAACTGTGTTTGAAGTGAAGGCAACAGGTATTCCACGACCAGAGGCAAAATGGTAAGTCCTGAAAAAAAAGTGTGTTGTCCCTATTAACAGACTCTGAAATAAAATGTTTCCAGTTTGTCAGAGTGAATCTTCATAACATACAAATGAAATGCACAAAATTCAATTTTTTTTTCTTTTCTTTTACTTCCTTTTTCTTTTCTCTTTTCTTTCATCACTGTAGAATGTAACATGTGAATGCTGTTAATGATTTTATGACTTTTCTATAGCACATCAATACATGAGATTTTTTCAATATACAGAACACTTTTCTCATACCTCATATCAATTATTTCGAATAAGAGAATTGTAGAAGCATTATATTAGAATGTTTTTTCATAAATTACAGATAATAATTTTGTCATGAAGAATAATGACTTTGTCTTTAATTAAAGGAGAACATAAAAGTACACAATAGAAAGAGGAACTTAAAAGTAAAGCAATACAAGCTAAGCCACAAAGGTTTCCTATTGTATACCGTATTTCCTTAGTTTTAGTTACCATGCCTCATTTTTAGTCATTCCATGACTAACAAAGGAAATCCAGTTCAAATCACTCACTGGAGCATCTCCATTTTCTCTATGAGCACATTTCAGAATTCAGGTTTCCTATTTTTGAAAAAAAATTACTGATCTGTAAAATAAACTTTCAGGTTTAAGGATGATCAAGAAATAAAGCCCTCGGCTAAGGCAAAGATCTCAGATAGTGGTGAAACATACAAACTGGAACTCGTTGATTTGGATGGTCCTGATGCTGGAGTCTACAAGGTGAAAATATCTAATCGCTTGGGAGAGAAGTCACAACAGGCCAAGTTATCTTTGAAATGTAAGTTCATGAGGCTAGCAGAACATTAATATCCACTTTTAATTTAGAACTTAATTTATAAACTTCATTCAGAACTTCATTTTCTGAAATAATAATAATAATAATAATAATAATAATAATAATAATAATAATAATAATAATAATAATAATAATAATAATTAATAATATTAACTTCAGTGTATGTTGTAGTAATAATAATAATTGCAATTTGCAATTATTGTTTACACCAATTGACGTACTAGGTAGAGTGCTTTTAGTAAATCTTTGTCTCTTTTTGTGCCTATATTGATATCATTATCCCAGAATTAGCTTTCTTTTTTTATTGGATCAAGTAGTGCTTGATATCATATCATAAGACGATATTTTTAACACAGCCAATTTTCCAGTTGGGACTTTTCTTCCTAAAAGTCTTCTGTTTTGTACTTCATGTTGTGTTATTCTTGCATGTCTGTCCTGACATGCTACATTTTATTGTCTTGGTCTGAGTTTTCACTTAACAGTCGCACACCAATGCTATTCCAAGATTCAGAGGGCACCATTGACGGGACTCCACAATACATTGCAATATAATTAAAGGAAAATGTTATGTTTAAGAACTATTTCAACATTTATTTAACAACATATTACAGTCATTTTTCACAAATTTGTGTTAAAATATGTTCAGTTTTAGAGCTATTGCCAAGCCAAAAGTTCTTGCGATCCTTTCAACATAGATGACCACATAGCTTTTTGGAAGGACTTGTTCAGCTTTCAGTGTGTTGGTCCAATTGCACAATTCTTATATACACCAACAGATACTAAAATAAGGTTTTAACATGTTTATGGGCAAGCCTGAGTGAAAGAGTTCTCAGTTGTTTCCTCAAAATAATGATGCATGGCAACGGTTTTAAATTATTTTGTAAACATTCAATAAGCATTGAAAGGTGAAATTATCACTTAAGGTTAAAAAAGAATCTAATAATAAAAGTGATAAACACTGAAATAGTGAATCCTTACCTAATTAACAAACTAATTAATTAACTAATTTATAAACAAACACAACTACACTGGGTTTCATTATTGACACACACACACACACCATTGGTATGTAAATGATAACAGTGATTTTTTGTAAATTTCACAATATATCATATGAAGAAACACGATAATTGTGATCTGATAGGATTCATTATTAATATACTGACAAAATTTTAGCTTATGATTTTTTATGTCCAAATATATAATATTACATGAATTTATTATCAAATTACATTATATTATGTTATGTTACATTTCATTACACATGAGTTGTGCCAACAGATGCAAGTAGATATTATTGAATGAGTGATGTCCTTGAATATTCCAATTATTCAGTAAAAATACTGAGAAACAGATATATCATGGTTTATTGAAGTATAATATATTCAAAATTGCCCTGTCAACATATGCAATATCCCCTTCAGGGTTCAATAATTGACTCAACAATGTTATACAGTAATAAGAATTATATCATGGTCAAACATTATAAGAATTATAACATTTAAAGTATTAAATATACCTATAAAAATAAATATGGAATTTTGAATTTGTAAAACCCAAACACACTCTTTGTTGATGAAGATGTCACATCAGCTTTTTGAACCCATAGTTGGGATACACATGGTCATATGTCTTCATTTATATTACATTACTTTATTATAATTATTAATTATAATTATATTTAGCCATAGATGCTTAATTGAATTGCTTCCCATTCTAACATTATATCACTTACCATAAAATTTATGTATTTCAATTTTTTTATTAATGTTGCTTTTATTATAATTGTAATATTTTGTCTTGTGTTGTAAATTTTTTATGAATTAAATAATAATAATAATAATAATAATAATAATAATAATAATAATAATAATAATAATAATAAATATTATAAAATAATATATTATTTTATTTGTGTAGCTGTGAATGACTTCCGAAAACCAAAAGTGAAGGAACCATTGAAAGATACTAAATCTCCCAAGAACGAAGAAGTTGTCCTGACATGTGTCATTGTGGGTGATCCAGTTCCTACTGTGAAATGGTAGGTGGAAGTCAAAAAATCAAGGGAATAGAAGTTTATGTTTATATTTTTGAATCTTTATCAGAGAAATTGTTTAATAAATCTTTTCTCAAAATCATTATTTTAAAACACTTTCAAGAAGGGATATGTTACTGTCTTTCAAAACTGAATGTCAGTTCTACTTCAGTTTTCATCTCTTAATTCCTGATATACTTAACGTAACTTTTATAAGCCCTTCATACACAATAAAATAATTCACACCCATTCTTAGGATATTGTTTTTTATTAGTTATTAAAAGCATATATCATGCTCATTAATATTTTAATTGACAAAAATAAAAATGTAGGTCTGCTTTTAATTCCTGTTGTAAGCCCACTTATGCCACTAGATGTTATTAATGAAATTAAATAAAAATGTGTTTTGTACTTCCAGGACGTATGTACCCCAGTTTGAGAAAGAAGCTGTGGATGTGAAAGAGGATGACAATCATGTGTTTAACGTCCAAACAAAAGACATTGAAGAGGGCCTCAAGGAATGCACGTTCACTCTGACTTTCCCCAAGGGAGCTCATTCTGATTCTGGTCAGTACAAAATTGCAGCCAAGAACAAATTTGGAGAGGATGAATCCAGTGTAAGCATCTTTTATTTTTCTTGTATATTATCATGAATGCATAATAAATCTGATTAAACCCGAATTCAAAACATTTTTTGACATACAAAATGCTAAAATTTGAAATGTACAAAAAAATTATAAAATTTAAAAAAAATACAAACCTTTTACTACTGTAAACTTATGCTTAAATTTTGCTTAAATGAGATTATTACAGATATAACACAAAGTGTTTTTTTTAGTTCAAATGGTTATTGATAGAGATGTATATTTAATTAGCTCCAAGTTATAAATCTTCTAGTTTGAAAAAGCGTACAAAGAATATTAATAACAAATATGAAAAAAAAAAATCAGTGATTTGTTATCAGGTTAGATTTTGCTCTTTTCGTACAAGAATATTTTTAATTTGAAAATTATGTTTTCAGGCTCGCTTGGATATTCTTTTGGTACCTGAAATTCTGTTGGATGCTCTAAGTGACATCACTAAAATTCCTTACGAAGATCATGAATTTGTTGTCACTATCAATTCCAATCCAAAGCCTCAAGTAGTCTGGTAAGTTATGAGCATTGGGAAAATTAGAGTAATATATTTTTGAATTTTCTAGTTGTTACTAAGTAATTTAAACAACAATTAAATGTAGAATTGGGTACACTGGAAAATCATGAGATGTAGGGATTTGACCTCTGAATATTTCATTGAGGTTGAAAGAAAACTAATTTCAAAAAGCACTTTCAGTTGAATTCAGTATTTCAAGGAAATGTTATTTCCTAGAGAAACTTTGCTGTTTTCTTTTTCTGCATTTCTGAGCTACTTTTTACCTCACCACAATTTACCTTATTTTATTCTCATTATTTATAGGACACGAAATGGAGAGAAACTTACCAACTCTGAAAAGATCAAGCTCACCGAAATTGCTGAGAAAGAACTGTACAGACTTTCTATCACCAACATAGGTCTGGCAGAAGATGGAGTCTATGCTGTCACAGCTACCAACAGTCAAGGCGAAAGCAGTCAGCAGGCCAAACTCACAGTGCACAGTAAGAAAATGCTAAGCAGAATGATTTTGGTAAGGCAGATGAATGAGAAATCATTGTCACTTTGAATCTTAAAGGAACCGCTTTTAGAGACTTTTCTTTCTTGACCAGGAAAAATCCACTGCGTTTTTCACAAGAAACACTAGTTTGCCTTCCATTACATTGTTCAAGCAAAGTATTGTGTCTCCAAAGGTATTGTTTCAAACTTTTCATCTGTTAAATAAATAATGACACAATCATTTAAATATCTCTTTTTTTTGTTTTGTTTTGTTTAAAATATTAAGAATTTTTCAGAAAAATGTTCTGCATATGAAGTTATGCAATGTCATAGTGATAATAGCAATTTTGATACAAAACTTAAATTAAAAAAATATTATTCTCATGCAAAATTATGGAGTTTGTGAAACATCAATAGTGATTCTTTCCAAATTACAACACTTTAGCCCCAGCATGTCTACTCTTCTGCCCTCAAAGACAATGTGGAGATCACACACAGTTGCACTAACTGAAACTTTCCATCTCTTATGGATGTAGTTTCTGTATGGCTTCAGGGAAATAGTCCAAGATGTGCCTTGACAACTAAACATGAAGATTCTCCAGCTTTTATTGATAGAATAATTTTCAAACTTTTCTTCATTCATCTGCCATTTGTCATTTTGTATTAGTTATAAATAATTCAATTCTTAACATGTGATTAAGTTTCAATTAAAATATTCATCTTCTCTGCAGCTGAAGTGCCTTCATTTGTCAAGAATCTGGAAGATCAATCTGTGAAGGACTATGATGATGCAGAATTTAGGGTGCGAGTAAATGGCGTTCCTAAGCCCAAAGTGACTTGGTGAGTTTCTTGCTGTTGCTTCTGTTCCTGTTGTTTTTCACCATTTTATCAATTTTCTTCCTATTGGCATTTTTAACTAATTATTTAGAATTAATTGGAACTTCTAAATATTAACAATTTTACCTGATTAAAAGTTATAATCTTCAAAAGTAAAATTCTGGGTGTATTTTTGCTTCATCATTTTCTCTTTATGTTTCTTATTAAATTGCATACCAATAGTTATTGAACTCTTCATAAAAATAACTTTCCCCAAGTGTAAGTAAGACTGTTCATTTACTCTGAAAACCATTAAATTTATCCTAATGAATGACTTTATAAGTTCTACAGAAAAAGCAATTTAATTAATGATATTTTTCCAATAAAATGTTATGAATGGCAGAAGCATGCTGCTTCTTTTTGTGACACTTTTTAACATTTTCTATTTCCAGGTTCAAAGATGGGAAAGAGCTTAAAACTGGAGGCCGCATCACCATTGAGACTGATTCTGAAGTCTTGGTTTCAAGCTCATTGAGCATTAAACACTTTGAAGAATCAGATATTGGAACAGTAAGTTAAAAACATCTGTACTAGTTTATTTGAAGGGATCATCCTCCTATAGATTGTTTAGTGGTTACAGCTTTCAGCTCATTCTTGGGTATAGGAATTTCAGGTCGGAATTATTTTCACTTTATTTTCTTCTTTCTCATCAGTTAAATCGCTTTTGAGATTTTACTAACCAAATCAGAGAAATTATACTTAACTTCAATGAGCACTCATGATATGATTGATGATTTGGGTGAAATAGGTGACTGTTTTCCACAACCATTAGGAGGAGAAAATGTATACCTTGTACAGGATTCAGACCTACAGCTCTAGAGCAGAGCAGTTTCATTTTCTCCAGTTTAAGTCAGCTTTATTCTGTCACTGTAATGTAATTTTAAATTTTGTTCTCTCATTACCAGAGTGAACAGAGGGCATTCGGTCAATTTGGAACACTTAATTCTTGAGATTGTTTTTAAGAATAGCATTCTATACCTGAATATTTCATGTTAGAAACTTACATTTTTATTAATATAAATATTTGTTTATTTTTTCATGATAATTTATTTATTATTTATTAATAAACCTTAAAAATACTTTTTAAAGAATCATGACTTTATTAACATTCTACTTATCTTAATATCTTTGAATCTCGCTCCTTGGAATATTTAGACCCAGATCAAGCTGTTAGCTTAGCATACAGTAATTGTATTTATGTAACTATGAACCATTGACCACTGACTGCTCTGTTACAAAGAGCTATGTTGGGTAATATATGTTGTGTAATATATTTTTTTAGTACAAGAAATAATATATAATGTATACAAAAGTATTTTTATCTTTGCTGCATTTATTAACGTAGGTTGACACCACTACACACGAACTCTTTTATTACCCATGACATTTTGTCTTTTCCATTTCCCCCCCCATACTACAGAAAATTGCTTTCCATAAACCCTTGCCATAACACAAATGGTTCTTGTTTCAGTATTCAGTAAGGGCTGTAGAGTTGGTAGGGGAAGCCACCACTAGTGCCAAATTGGAAATGACACAGCTACCTCCAACATTTGGAAGACCTCTTGACCGGGCAGCAGAAGTAGATGAGAATGATACATTGGATCTCAAATGCAAAGTTGATGGTAGTCCCATTCCCAAGGTCAAATGGTAAGTTTTCTGAAGGAAAGGAATATATTTTAACATTTGCACTTTTACATACTTAGAACAATTTTTGATATCACAGTTAAATTCTTATGTGATGTTTTTATTTAGTTATGCCAGGTTATTAATATTGAAGGCAATAGGGCAAGAGATTAATATTTCATATTAATATTTTTGTTGCAGTTTCTTTTATGACATGTAAAATACTTCTTGCATGATAAACTTTAGATTTTGGATCTGCTTTATATAATTCTAGCCAAATGTTAAAATTTAACTTCAGAAAAATAAAACTGGAAAAAGGAAAAATATATAATGAGAGCAATAATAAGATTTGAAGGCAGAAATATGAAACAGATGTTAACTGTTGTGTAAAAATTATGAAATAGCAAAACTTTGTGGTGAAAGAATAAAGTTTGGAGAAACATTTGAACTTATTTAAATTTAATAATTTAATTTTAGGTTTAAGGATGGTGAACCATTGGAGCCCAGCGACCATGTCAAAATTTCTGTATCTCCTGATGGCTCAGTGCGCTTGGTCATCGACAACGTAGTACCAACAGACTGTGGAGCATACAAACTTGTTGCAACAAATAAAAATGGAGAAACCAATGCTATTTGTGCAGTTGCAGTGAAACGTATGTTGATGTGTATATTGGTTTGTTCATGGATGATTTTTATTATTATATTTTTAATGTTTTAAAATTACATATGGAATATTTGGAATTTTAATAAACTTTGGAGGATAAGATATACAAAATAATGAAACTAATGATCTAACTCTTTTTTTGGGTATCTTTCTTGCTAAAAGAGTATTAATATTAGATACAAAATATTTCTAAGAAACGTGAATGGAAAAATGCAGTTAAATAAGATAATAGAATGAGAAATATAGAATGCACGCATGCATGTTACTATAACCATCATTCAATATAAATAAATTTATTTTAATGTTAGGAAAATTAAATTTTTTAAATGTCACATTCTGTGGGGTTTTTTTTCTTTTTTTTTTTTTAACGATATTAAATTACAATTTAAATGATAAAGTATAATGAATAATGCAATACTACCAGGTAGGTGGTTTTGTCCCTTTCATTAACCCTGAGGTGCATGCGCTGGAAGAAGTCACTTGAGCACAAGCTGTGATCTCTCAGATGCATCATATGAATTTTTGCTTATCTTGCTTCACAAACTGACATTTAGATTTTCAGCCACAAACACACATTAAACACATTTACTCACATCAAAGCGTTAAAACTTTTTTGAAGTATGATATTAATCAATAATAAGAACAACATATAGATTAAAAAGATGTATCAGTTGTAAATTGTACTACATGCTCCGGCCTGCAATAGGATGCACAGCAAATGATTTCGGTGAGTTTATTCTCATGATGACAGTGAAAAGCCTATTCGCATGAAATGGTAGCTATGAGATCTGAGGACAATTATAGAGAGGTTCTGAGAACGATAGCATTCTCTAAAATTTCTATGTCGCTCTATCAACGGGAGAACAACTCGTCATCTGAGAGATCAAACACGTGTGCCACGGAGTTAATACTTCTTACTTGTATTTTAGTGATACTAAGTTTGATTTTGTTTAATTGCAGCCAATAATCGTAAGCCTAGCTTCTCAGAGCCTCTGCAAAACATCAAAACCACAGTGGGAGAGCCTTTGAAGATCCAGGCCAAAGTCATGGCCTTCCCTATTCCAGAGATCAAATGGTGAGTTCAGGTCACTTCAGTTACTTATTACTTATGGATATGGAGAGTAGCTAAGAGAGAAATTTAAGAAATTAACAGATGTATTATTGTATCCAATCAATTTTGCCTTTTAAATTAACACATTCACAGAGGCGTTACCAAATAATCAGAGGTGTATTAATGCATAAGTAAACTGTGTGTACTTAAGTTCTCCAATATTTTTTTAATAAAGTTTTTTATTAGTCCACAAGAATGTAAACAACAATTTTTAAAATTGAACTTACATCATTACATCTTTAGTTGCTAACAACTTACATCTTTAGTTGCTTTTAACTTTTAAAGTTAACTTCAAATGTATTTTCATTACATGTCATTTATTATTGGAGTGCCAATAGTTTTTACACAGTTAGGTCCTTTTAAAATATAAATCCAGCCCTGCAAAAAACAATTTTAAATACGAACTCACCTTCGTATACTGTTGACAGGTTTAAAGATGGCCATGCCATTCGCCCATCACCAGCTGTCAACTTCATCAATGAGCCTGGTGGTCTGATTGGACTGCACATAGACTCTGCTCGCCCCGAGGATGCAGGGCACTACAAACTCACCATTAGCAATAAGTTGGGTGAGATCTCTGGGGAAGCAGACATCGTGGTGGAGGAGCGTGAGAAGAAGCCCACGTTCCAGAGCCAGCTGATCCCCATGGCTGTGGTCGAAGGCTACCCTGCCAAGCTGGAGGTCAAAGTCACTGGTCACCCTCCTGCAACTCTCAAATGGTAAGGGGAAGCCACGGTGTCAATTAAAGATGAGCTATTGCATGTCTGGAAGGTGTCAGCCAAAGTTATTTAGTGTTTCAAATAAAACTTTAAATATAAAAACAATACGACAATTGAAATTAATAATACTAGTAAAATGAACAAGAAAGGTTTACGAACACTAAATAAGTTTATTAGGCACTAGCTGAAGTATGTCAATTCCCAGATATTCATTAATCATAACCATCAATTAGACAGGAAAGGGAATGAATTCTCTGTGTGGGGTATCCTCGCCTCCACTTTTCCTTTCCCAACTATGGCCCACCAAGAACTGCCCTCCCCTCTCCAATCATTCTCTACGTGACCCATCCCACCAACCCAGCTCTCCCCTCTCCTTCATTACTCTGCACCACCCCTGCACGCCCTGCTTCACTCTGACTCACCAGGTCCACCCTGGTCTTCTTCATCCAGCTACATTGTAATGATCATCATTGCTACTACTTGAACACCTGTAAACAGATGCATTGTTGCTTTCTCCTTGAAAACATTCAGTAACAATTTTGACCTTCAATTACTCTGAGCCTAATTGGACAATTGGAATGAATCAAAATGCATTCAGTAGGAAATTCAATTGAATTGCAAAAACAACACAAACACTTTTCTAAAAAATAATCTCAAAATCAACAAATTAACTCAATGCTCAAATTACTCAACCCAAAAGCTTTAAAACCTTTTTCACAAATAAAAAACCTGACTCTTTATACAAGAAAAGAAAAAATGTAGTGTTACACCTGGCAGAACACTCTACTTGTCAGTAAAAACTGCATTGAAATTGGTACAGCCTTTCTAGAGATTACCCCTTTCAAACAGTAATGACCAATCATTTAAATAAGTTTATGAGATTATAAAAAGACAGTTATTTAGAAAGCACAGAGAAACACTCTAATATTACTTTTATAGATTAACCAACAAAATATAATAAATAAGGTACTAATAATAATAAATAAAGAATAAAAAATAAATATTTATTCATTGAATATCCAAACTGATTACATTTATAAACACAAATTTATAAACAAAGTTATCTGATTATAGTTTATTACAAGACATAGTAAACACATTCATATTATAGTTCTTCATATTAATAAAAATTATTTCTGAAATCTTTCAGGACTCTCAATGGAAAAGAAATTGTTCCTGATGGACAGCACATCAAAATTGTCCAACTGCCTGATGGCACTTGCTCTCTCCTTATTGACAAGGCCAGACCAGAGG